GGGGGCATCGGCCGCCGCTGATATAGCTGTTACAGCTGCCGTCTTGTCCTGTGACCTGCGTCGCGGTCATTTAAGAGAACTGCGCGGTTCATCTCTCAGGGGCTTACGAAACAACAACAAAAATCGATATTAATAAATTTGTGATGGGAAGTCAAATGAAAATAATTAAGCTGCTACTATACTATATTCCCCGATAACGACCCACTCAGTTGGAATTGGAGCACTCGCGAAAGGTTGAAGTCGGGATTGGGAATTCTGCGCGAAACCGGGTGGAACTGGTTGTGGAGGCGATTGATCGGCCCTACGGCTAACGGCGCCATTAGAAGAGAAACATGCACAGGCCAGCTGCAGAAATGACTGGCAATATGTTCTATTGCGAGGGGCATAAGACGCAGTTGAACTTGTTAACCGGAAACGCTCGATGCGCCGAAAATAGCTTCAAAAATCGCTGCCGAACCGAGACGCTGATTCCGATTTGACAATCTGACCACCTTAATGGGTCTTTGGAAAAAGACCCTGAAAAATTCTTTGTTATCTCGGTTCGGACCGTGATGGGCGATGGGCGCTTTCGGGCTGTAACGCGTGAAAAGCAAAGATATGTATTTGCGCAAAACTCGTCGGTTTGTTGTTTTCTTTGGAATGCAATGCGATGCCATCCGAATGAAATTCATTTTGATCGGTTCGGCAGCTCTTTACGGCGCGGCGGAGGCGGCTGTGCGCCAGATACCAGGGCCTTCCCTCCCGGGCGCACGCGCCAGCCGTGGCGGGACGGGGCGTTGCGGGGCCTGGCGGTGCAAGAGTCGAGGGCCTCCTTTGCACTTATCGCCGCTATTCCCACGGGCCCCGAGCTACACTGCGGCCCCACCCGCCACACCCACCTGCCCCGCCCTGCCGCACGCCGTCGCTATGCACCCGCGACCGCCCGCGACACGGCGCGTTATCGTGCGCAGCTCTCCGGTCAGATTTTCGCCTAACTGCACTCCGCGTACGTGCCCATTAGCTGATAGACGCGCCAACGCCAATCCCCGGTGCTGCTGGCGTGGGCACCAGACCAGCATGCACAGTTGAAGTCCTCTTCTCTGGATTGCAGTCTCAAAGTATAGTTTAACCACTCATATCGTCAGTTAAACAATTGATCCTTCCATCCGGGTTGTATGTGGACGGGCCCGTTGTTGTGTTGGAGTTCCTCTCTCCAATCGGACACACAATGGTGCGACCGCGGGGGGCAAGGATCTTCCTCCGCGCCGCATGGGGGGAGGAGGAGGAGAAGGGACGTCAGGTCGGCGAATCAGTCTCTATAACGCGTCTCTTCAGTCAGCACGCGATTCCGTCCGGCATCCCGCCCGCCCGTCTGTCTGTCAGCAGGGTCAGCAGCCGAGCCATATGCCCGGCTTGTGTGCTGCTGCTGCTGCTGCGATCAGAGGGTCGCTGAACTCGACCGCTCTACTTATTTGACACTTTTTCTCCCCCTTGTCTATGGTCATGCGCCTCGTCGAGCGAGACCGGCGCCGGCGCTAGATTCGCACAATTTTTTTCGATGCTCGTTTGAAAGTCGACTCCATAGCGCGGTCGCGTAGCAAACCAGGTCGGCGCTGGCGGCGGGCCGCGGCCGACACGCGAGGACGCCGTCGTTGTCGAGGACGCCGCCGTTGCCGAGGACACCGGAGCGCTGACCGCGTGGCTGGCGGGCGGCGCGGCGCCGAGTCGAGTGGCGAGCGCGACGGGGGCGGGCGGGTGGCCGCCGGGCGCCTTATCTGTTCTCGTCCGGAAAGCTTTTGTTCTCGCGCCTTCCACGCGCCGGCCCGGCTTACACCACCCTCGAGTGCGCCAAGAGTGGACCCCGCCGGCCGCCGCAGCTCCGCGTGGACGAAGTGCACTACAGCGGGCCGGGGGGCCGGGCGCGCCCCGCGGCCGCGGCGTGCACCTCGCGATAGTGTACAGCACCCGCGCCGCCATGAGGGGCCGTCGCGTCGCGGAGGGGAGGGGACCGTCTGCTGCGCCCATGACTCATTTTCTCTCGGCCCATGACAAGAGTTCATCATGACAGCCGCGACGGCCGCCGGCCCGGCGGGTGGGGTCTTGGGCTGCTGCTGGGGCCGGGTAGGTGGTAGCGGGGTTGGCTGGGGTGGCGCGCTGGCAACGAGGGGGCGTCGACCCTCCACCCCCACCCCTTCCCCGCCTCTCCTCCAAGGGCACGCGGGAGACGCGCTGCCGCCGCTGCTGTGACGTTGTGTTTGCCAACCTCCCGTCGCCCGCGCGCTCTGGAGCGAAATAAGATTATATGCTCACGAAGAAGAGCAGGCTCCCCCCCC